GTTCTCTTAATAATTTAAGAAGTTATGATCATTTTTGTCTTGTTGATTTTTAGGTTTGGTTTGGTGTAAGTGATTGATGGGAAGAGTTCCAATATAAATATAGCAATTATATTAGATATAGTTAACATATTAGATATATAAATATAGTCTACATAGTAAACATATTAGATAGAACAAATATGCTAGCTATAGTTGAAATGTTTATAAAGTTCTCAATAATTATAAAAAAAAGATATATAAGATCTGCCTTTGTGCTTGGATAAAGAACTAACTCTTGAAGTTCTAAAAATTCTTGAAATGCAAGTAGAAATATTTGTTTCAATTTTGCTAAATGTATAAATCATAAAAATAATTTGTCATTATTATTAAACCTTGCTCTCATGACTATTGTATACTTCATTTTCATACTAAATAAGAAAGAAAAAAAATATCGATTAGTAATCAGGTCCCTTATATATTTTTAAATACGAAACTGATTAAACTTGTGATTACCTCATTATTAAAAATTGATATCCATAACCACGTAACATTGTGAACTGAATTTACAGCCACAGTAACCACTAACGAAAGAAGCCACGTATTAGTAAAATATTGAGAATTGACAAAATTACCTAAAAGGAAGTAAAAGCACACTTATCTGAACCTAACCCTATCATTATTAAACCATATTAACCCTAATTACTTGGACCACGCCTCAATCATAGCATCAAAAATATTAGGTTTTGATATTGTAGTTATAGTGTTTTAATTAAAGTAGTTTAGTTATATAGTGAGTAGATTATATAACGACCCTGCAAGCTTTCTGATACAGCTTGCACTTTCAAAATTATAAATTTTTATAAGGGAATTAATATTTTCACCCCTTTTTTGATATTGCCACATCCCTGCTAACTCTAAATCTAATCAAAACCCAAGCCAATATTAGCCGCAGCAAGACATTCGATTTTATAACTCAGACTAAATTTCTCTATGACACTTTCATAGCCAACCTTTTGGGTCTCAAATCAAATTATACTATAATTTTTAATGACATAGTATTGTTTTTGGTTAGAATTACTTATTTAGACATCTGTCTTATAAATTTTCATTTCAACAATGTATATATGTATGTTATAAGTAAAGATGTGTCTAGTGATGTGCCATTTATATGATAGGCTGATTTTTTTCATGTACAGTATGTATAGTACGTACAGTATATACAGTAATATATAGTATATAATTAGAAATAGATTTGCATTATTACTACGGCAAAATTTTTAATACCAGAAACAGCGTGATAAATATCACGAAGTGTATAGCTTATTCAAGAAAGAAATTATATGCATATCTAAAATCTAATACCTGATTGGTCGGTATGAACATAATTGTCACATCTTGTATATTCTTCACCCGCTATTAAAATCACAACTATCTCCATCAAAGCCACGAATCTGCATTGCTAAACGATCATTCACTGTTAATATTAAATCTCTGCTAAGTCGAATTTACACTACAAAATCTGAAATCCACCCATTGCTAAAATCTTTAACTTATCATTATTTGAATCATAAACACTCATTAACTTACTTATTTAAATTACTAATTGACTTATCGCTAAAATTAACCTATTAATATTAAAAGCACTAGCCGATCTACTGTTGAAATAATAGACTCACTCACTACTCAAATCACTCACCTATTTTTAAAATCACTAATGCCCATTGTTAAAATTATTATTCTACCCATTACCCATCATTGCAGTCACTAACTTACCCATTCATTTTTTAAATTATGACCTTACCCATCATTGAAATCATAAAATATAGAAAACAGACAAATAAATTTTCACAGTGTCAAATATTAGTATAAATGTTCGTTATTCACAAAAAATGCTCATTGACTAAGCTATGCAGATATATATTAAAGTTTTGCACCTAATACTAACCATTTATCAGCCAATCCTATCACCCAAGCTTTATCAATGAAATAACTGTCAATAAAATAATTTATGAAATTGATTTATACTATAATTATACTAAATTTTTAAAGCAATAACTGAAAACTTTCTTTTTATTATTTTCTTTATATATATTATAATTAAACATATTTACTAATCTCAAATAAAGCTTCCTGTTCCTGGTTTTAGCACGACTACATTGCGCAGCTATATAATTAATTAACATAAAACAGACTACATATAAAATGATTAGCAAAAATTCTCGCATATAGTACGTACATATAGTACATACAGTACTGTACGCAGCACATCACTAGATGTGCCATATATAGTACTATATATACTGTATATTGTGACTGTAAAAATGGTACCAAGCTGAAAAATAATGAAATCAAATCACACTAATTATAAACAAAAAACTAACACTACTAAATACTACTCTAACTCCGACTCTAATAGTGGTAAGGCTACGATCGATGCATAGAAAGATTTGCTATGAATAACTAGGGTTAATTAGAGCTCTAAACTACATCACAGGTTTCTTGATGCAAAGTTACAGAATTTATTTACTAATTCCTATCATTAAGACAGATTTTATTTATCCAGAAGAATTAGTAGAATGACAGATATATATTATAAAACCAAATTACATACCAGGCAAGAGATTAATTGTATAATATTAATGTTTCTTTCTGTTAGTTATTAGTAGAACAATATTGAAAAAATTTCAGAAAAAAGCAAATTTTTAAGTGTTTCAGAATTTATAAAAACAGATATAAATTCTGTAAAGCATCTTTCAGTAAAAGAGCTTTTAGTAAAATATTTTCAAAGAAATGGATTATCAGAAAAGTGTATCATTCAGAAAATGACTTTTCAGTAAAATGTGATTACTTTTACTTAGTATTCGATGAAATGGTAGTTACAAATAAATAACTTATCAGAAATATATACTATCGATTAAAAAAATTTCAGTAAAATGAGACATCAAAATTATGACCTGTTAGTAAAATGGGTTGTCAGTATTATAGCTTTGATAAATAGAGTTTCAGTAAAATTGATTTTGGGAAGTTAAACCAGAACCCTTATAAAGAGAATTTTACAAAATATGCTTATATGAGAGGTGATCATAAAAATAACTGAACATACAAATAAATAAAAAAAAATTGCATATTAAAAAAAATGTATATGCATAATAATTCATATAGAAAAATTTGCATAAATAATAAAAATATATATATAATTGCTTTTTATATTTATTGTACAGAATGCATCTACATTATTATATATATTGTAAGTTATTTCTTTTGCAGGAACAAGAATTAGAAGAGCAGTTGGTTTTTGGCAGTGACAATTTGAATGATAGTTTTGAGGTGCTTTATTTGGTTTATTATTGCTAGATTTTTATAATTTATTACTCATTGTTATATAGTTATTATGTAATAACATTATGCTTACTTAATCAAAAAATTATTATTATTTTAAAATAAAAATTGATTTGATCATTTATTATTTTCTTTAAAATTTGCTTGTTTTAATGAAATAATTTTGTTTAAATAAACTATATTAAGAAAAGGATAATTAGAGGTCCAAGTGGCTCAATTCCACTTGCTGGATGCAATAATTTTATCTATATGTAATACAACAATCCTTCTGAGTTTATTGATCAAATAGGTGAAATCTTTTAAAGGCTTATCTGATAGCACAAACTTTGTATATATAAATAGCATTATCAACTATCTTTTGTAAAATAAAATAATATTATATATAAATATTTTTAATTGTATGTATAATAATAAGTAATAAATAAAGTTGTAAGTAGTATAATAAAATAATAATAAATAAATATTAAAATAAAAGTAGTATAATAAAATAGTAATAAAATAAATAATAAAATAATAAGAGTATAATAAAATAATAATAAATAAGTACACTTAACAAATCAAAAAAACTCTTTCCTCTGATCTGCAATTTTTAATTGGTCAAAACCAAAATCAACAATTATCTCCAAATCTAGTATAAGAAACAAGGTATTTTGTACTAAAAGAAAAAAGAGAGCACTTAAAATAACCTATAGTTTATTAGAAGAAGCTTTTACCCAAGACTAGAAATGCAGACGGAACTTAAAGCATTGGGAAAAGCTATGTTGTAACTGAGTTATAACCAGTTATGACTTTTTGCATTAAAATATGGTATACTAAAACTTGCATATATATTAATATAGTTATTTACATTATAACTTTTGTATATGCCGTAATTCAATTTTATATGTCGTAACTTGCTGTAATTAAAAACTTTCTATTGCCATTATACAGTAAATTTTTTGAAAATTCATATTACTGTTACAGCTTGCGCGATTATAACTTATAGAAAAGTATGCACTAAATATATTATGTGAAAAAAACAATACTGTTATAAAATGAATCTAAGTGAATGCATTTATTATTCTAATTATTTATTTATTACTTTCTTCATTAAAAATCCAAGCTACTAAATTTGCTGTATTATAATTAAGATTTCCCAATCCAAGTCGTTATGTATTATTATTTGATACCATACTTTGACTTTTGATAAATGAATTGTTATTGCCTACAAAGGCTGGATTTGAAAGATCAATCACTTCATCAATTAGCAAATTAGTATCATTTACTTCATCTAATTGTATATTGCAATAGCTGGAAATAGGTTCAAATGAGTCAGAAGATTTTTCAGATTGTTCAACAAATTCCATTTGGCTAGCACTAACAGTAGATCCATTTACACTGTCTCTTAAATCACATTCTAATAGTTCCTTTCTATAAAAAGATAATTTATTTTTAATATTAGTATAGCAAAATGCACAAATTTTTGCTATTGCTTCCAACCGAAAAATATTAAGCCTTGTTCATTGGTCACCAAATATCTATTTTAATGTAGAAAAGTTTCGCTCACATACAGCTTGAGATGGTGGAATAGAAAAAAATTTTAATGGCTAGCTCAGCCAATGAGTCTTTTTGAGCATCAATACTTAACCATCATTTTAGTGCTGATTCCATTTCTTTATTAAATGTTTGAGTATATAGTTTTTCTTTGCGTTTATAAGCACGAAGTTCTATTAATAGATCTTTACATAAAGCTTCGTTGTATCCCAATTCTTACCACATTGTGGCTGCAGTTTTACAAATTTCATGAAATTGACATCACTTTAATTCAATAGACTTAAATAAGTTGATATTAGGAAGACGGTTTATAGCTGCAGCTATTTTAATCAATGCTACATAACAATCAGCAATAGTAGCATATTGACTTTCCAATTGATATACCATGTTCTTAATAGGTTTTAATATTGATGCTATTTGATGACATTGGTTAAAAAATTTATAATTTTGGATTAAGTTGAAAACTGTTTTGTTAGAGATTATAACAGCATGATTATTAATAAGCTAAGATATAAATTTATTAGTTAATATAATTAAATATTGTTATATTAGCAAATTTATTAGTCAAATTTATTTAAATTATATATATTTTATTAGGCAATTTTTATTAGTTGAATTTTATT